GGGGAGAATCTAAAAAGTCCTCGTAATACTCTTAAAAAAAAACCCACAACGAACGCTCGTGGAAGTTCCGAAAACGACCAAAATGTTTGCAAATAACGCAAATATTCCTAATATAAAACACGAGAAAACACTCATCCAGATCATCTAAAAAAATTTCCAATTTACACTGCAAAGTTTTCACTCTCAAGTTCACAATGGCTTTGGTGCCTTTCCAAAGATCCAATTCCTATATTCGATCATCATCATCATCATCATCATCTTCGTCTTCTCATCCTGTTCAATGGACATACGATGTGTTTTTGAGCTTCAGAGGCGAAGACACTCGCGACAATTTCCTCAGTCATCTCTATAAAGAGTTGAATCGAAAGGGAATCAACACCTTCATAGACGATAAAGAGCTCCAAAGAGGGAAAAAAAATTCGCCAGAACTCCTCAAAGCTATTGACGAATCAATGTTTTCGATTGTCATCATATCGGAAAACTATGCTTCGTCAAGTTGGTGCTTGGATGAACTTGTGAGGATACGTGAATGCAATGATGCGAGGGGGCAAATCGTTTATCCAGTTTTTTACCGTGTGGATCCATCGGAAGTGCGAAAACAAAAGGGGAATTTTGGGAAACGATTTGATGAATTGGTTTCTAAGCTTCAGATGGAGATGGAGATGGAGATGGAGATGGAGAAGGTTCAAAGTTGGAAGAAAGCTTTGAAGGAAGTAGGCAATTTAGCAGGCTTCACTTTCCCAAATCCAGCAATTGGGTAATAAATTACTCCTACTTTTTTAACATGGAAAATTTCGACATGTCAAACAATTTATTAAAACATTTACCAAATGTGTCATGCGAGAGAGAGTGCGTGAGTTTAATATTTTTATTTTGCTTAAATAATTACAATATAGGGATTAGTGTAATTTCTCAAAAGTCAAGATTGACTAAAAATTTTGATAAATCTTTTAGATATCTACCATTACATTTTTAAATATGCTTCTTTGATTTAGTTCCATTTTTTATTATTTATTGGGTAAATTACGCTTTCACTCTTTTTAAGTATGAGTTATTTCTTAAGGACTATTTACATGGAGTATTTTTAAATTATTAAGAAATATCATTTTGACTTTTTAAATTATAAAATCGTATAAATAGACCCTTTAAATTATTGAGAAATATCATTTTGTGTTCTAAACTATAAAATCGTACAAATAGACCCTTGTACAAATTGGACCCCTGATGGAAGGGATCACAGTGAAACACACCAATAGTTCAGAGGTCTATTTATAGTCTTTTATAGTTTAGGGGTCTACTTCTCAATAATTTAGAGGTTTATTTGTGTGTTTTCATAGTTTAGGGAGTTAATAGTTTAGGGGTCTTCCTGTAAATAACTCTTATTTCTTACTATTTTGTTCTTAAGAAAATATTCTCACTTCAGTTCACAAATTATTTTTCATTTCCACTCGAGATTTTAAAAAGCGGCAGCAACCATTACGAAACACCGTTACGTAACGGTGTTTCGTAACGGTTGTGGTGGTTACCGCCACTCGTTACGGCCGTTATAGCAGTGTGACAGAAATTCACATGTGTTACGGTCGTTTCGGTGTTACGTAACGGTCGTAGTGTCACCGTAACGGCTATAACGATCCGTGACACACTGTTACACTATTTTACAATATTCTAAATAGTTTTTTTTTTCAAAAAAAATAATAATAAAAGCTGACAAAAAAAGAACAAATACTTAAGTGATCTAAACCAAAAAAAAAAAATCTTATATGAATTTTTTTATATATAATTTTTTTAAATTTTTTTTTATTTCATTACATTAACATGTAAAATGAAAAATATATAAATAGTTGTTGCATTTATTTTTATAATAATTTTAATTAATATTTTTTATTTTGTTAATGTGTTGTCTAAAAAATCTATTTAAAAAATAAATAAAATCAGTAGTTCAAAAATAATTTTTGTTCATGACACAATTTTTATTTTTATAATTATTTCATTTGATACTTAATTGTAAATAAGTTTATTTAATTAGTTGTAAACAAGGTTTTGAAAGGCGGGTGCGGTTGCCGTAACAGTTGCGGTGATGTGGTAGCGGTCGCGGGGTGTAAAGGCTATAGTGTAACGGTTGCGGTAATCGGAACCGTTATTTTTTATATGTTTCGCATAATTTGAAGAAAACTTATCAATACACATTTTTTTTTCAGAATCATATTTATGGGGGTTTAAAATAAATTTTGATCAATTTTGGTTAATTTTGAAGTATGATCCAATGTATTTCATATTTTTAAATCACTGTAAAAGGAGCTTTTTACATTTTATTTCAATAGTTAATGATTTTTTGAATAATTGATTTTAAATGTCTACAAATTATTTTCTACCAATACCTGAACTAATTGAATAAAAAATATTCACAATTATTAAATGAAGGGATTATAAAATAAAAATTGTGCCACAAATTTAAAAATAAATAAATAAAGAAAAAAAAATCCGTATAAGATTTTTTCTTTGGGTTTGGATCACTTGAGTATTTGTTCTTTTTTTTTTATTATGTGCTTTTGTATTTTTATTTATTTATTTATTTATTGAAAAAGGAAGCTATTCAAAATATTGTAAAATGGTGTAACGGTATCTAACAGACCATTACGGCTGTTACGGAACCGCTACGGCCTTTACACGTGAATTTCCATCACACTGCTATAACGACCGTAACGGGTGGCGGTAACCACCACAATCGTTACGTAATGGTTGCAGCCGCTTTTTAAATTCTTGATTCTGAATATTGTAAAGGGTATAACGGTGTCTAACGGACCGTTATAGCCATTACGTAACACCGAAATGGCCATTACACATGAATTTCCGTCACACACCTATAGCGGCCGTAACAAGTGGCGGTAACCACTACAACCATCACCAATTAAACCACAAAAATCAAATATCAACATTTCCAATAACCCATCAACTTAGGTAAAACCATTTCAATAAATTATAAAATTCCTCTAACATCATTTATAGTACATAGAGATACCCAATCCACTATCTATCAAATCAATTTTAACATATAAATTTCCCAACACCCAAATTCCTAATTTTTACGTCACATTCAAACCCCTAGATTGACCCAAATGTCAATCTCAAAATCATTCACATTGATAAGAGTGTAAAATTGACTCGCGTCCCATGGGCAGCCCGGGGCGAGCCTGGTCTGACCCGTTGACAATGTGAATATTCACATTGACATATTAACATTCACATTGATAGGAGTGTAAAATTGGCCCGTGGGCGGCCCGAAGCCCGCCTGCTGCCCAGGGCGGGCCCAGCCCGGCTCGTTGACAATGTGAATATTCACATTGACATATTAACATTAACATTGATAAGAGTGTAAAATTAGCCCGTGACCCGTGGGCAGCCTAAAGCCCGGCCCCTGGCCGACGTGGGCCCGGCCCGTTGACAACATGAATTTTCGCATAGACATGTTAACATTCACATTGATAAGAGTGTAACATTAGCCCGTGCCCCGTGTGCAGCCCAAAGCCTGACCTCAGGCCGGGGCGGGGCCGGCTCGTTGGCAATATGAATATTCACATTGATATGTTAACATTCACATTGATAGGAGTGTAAAATTGGCCAGTAGCCCAGGGCAAGCCCGACCCGGCCCGGCCCGTTGACAATGTGAATATTCACATTAAATTCTCGGATCAAAATGTAGCCATCGACGATCAACACACTTTTTATTAATGTGAATGTTAACATGTCAATGTGAATATTCACATTGTCACGGGTAGGGCCAAGCCCGCCTCGGGCTGCGATCGGGCTGCGGGACGCCCACGGGCTGCGGGCCAATTTTACACTCCTATCAATGTGAATGTTAACATGTCAATGTGAATATTCACATTGCCAACGGACTGGGCCCACCCTGGCCCGAGGTCGGGCTTCGGGCTGCCCATGGGTCATGGGCCAATTGTACACTCTAATATGTGAATGTTAACATGTCAATGTAAATATTCACATTGTCAACAGACTGGGCCGGGCCGCCCACGGGTAGTGGACGGGTTTCAGGCAGCCACGAGGCGCAGGCTAATTTTACACTCCTATCAATGTGCATGTTAACATGTCAATGTGAATATTCACATTGTCAACGGGCCGGGCCGAGTCGAGCCCGCCCTGGGCTGCTGTCTAGTTTTATACTCTTATCAATGTGAATGCTAACATGTCAATGTGAACATTCACACTGTCAATAGGCCGCGCCGAGCCCGCCCACGGGCCGTGGGCGGGTTTTGGGCAGCTATGAGGCGCGGGCTAATTTTATACTACTATCAATGTAAATGTTAACATGTCAATGTCAATATTCACATTGTCAACGGGCCAGGTCGGGCCGGGCCCGCCCTGGGCTGCGGGCGGGCTTTTGGCCGCCAATGGGCCGCGGCCCAATTTTATACTCTTATCAATGTGAATGTTAACATGTTAATATGAATATTCACATTGTCAACGGGCAGGACCGGGCCCGCCCCGGGCCGCCCTTGGGCCGCGGGCGGGTTTCACGCCGCCACGGGATGGGGGCCAATTTTACACACCTATTAATGTGAATTTTAACATGTCAATGTAAATATTAACATTGTCACCGGGCCGGGCCCACCCAGGCTCGCGGGCGGGTTTCGGGCCGTCCACGGGCCAATTTACATTCCTACAAATATGAATTTTAAAATATGAATGTTCACATCATTAAATTGTTAATCGTTGAAAAAATATTTATAAGGGCATCAAAATTAAATATAAGGGCATAAGTGTCCAAGAAAATAGTGTAAATTAAGAAAATGGGCTTTATGGAATAAAACTGGGATTTTTATTGATAAGTCCAATTTAGAAGTGTTTTAACCTAAGAAGTCCATGAAGGAATTTTTTAACCCATTTAGTCCCATGTATGTATAGTTTTATTCCATAAAGTCTATTTTCTTGATTTACACTATTTTCTTGGACACTTATGCCCTTATATTTAATTTTGATACCCTTATAAATATTTTTTCCACGATTAGTAATTTAATGATGTGAACATTCATGTTTTAAAATTCACATTTGTAGGAATGTAAATTGGCCTGTGGGCGGCCCGAAACTCGCCCGCGAGCCAGGGCTGGCCCGGCCCATTAACAATGTGAATATTCACATTGACATGTTAAAATTCACATCAATAGGAGTGTAAAATTGGCTTCCGTCCCGTGGCGGCGCGAAACCCGCCCGCAGCCCATGGGCGGCCTGGGGCGCTCTTGGTGCTTGCGGGTCCAATTTGACACTCTTGATTAATTATGGAATGTTAACATGTCAATTGTGAATATCACATTGTCCAACGGGGCCGGGACCGGGCGCCGCCCCGGGCTTGCGGGTGGTGGCCCTTTTGGCCGAGGTCACATGGGCCGCGCGCTGCCCAATTTTATATACTCTTATCAATGTGAATTGTATAACAAATTATCAATGCTGAATATATCAGCATTGTCAAAGTGGCCGGACGCAGGGCCCGCCCCTGGGCCGCCATGCCGCTCGGAGCTGGGTTTCCCGCCAGCCACGCGTACTGGGGGCCTAATTTTACACTGTCCTATTGAATGTGAATGTCTAAAACATTTGTCAATTGTGGAATGACTCACATTGTCAACGCTGGCCGGGGCCGTGCGCCGTACGGGCCGAGATCGGGGCCCGCCCTGGGCTGCCTGGTGTCTAGTTTTTATATTCTTTATCAATATGAATGTTAAACATGTCGAAATGTTGAACATTCAACATT